TCAATGCTCCATTCCAGAGGGAGACCAAAGCTTCGATAGATAGACAGCGGATATCAAGATGCGAAAGTTAGCATAGCAAATTGGAAGTCCGTGGTCTGAGATAGACCGAAATTGAAAAAGTTGCTGAACCAAGCCAAGACCCACAAAGGACTTTAGGGCTAGAACAACAAGAAGAACATGGGTGATTATTCTAGCTAGGCCCACAGAATTATCTGACTTTCATAGTATGTCATATTTCCTCATGTGTAGTGTGACGGTCATGCATTTTATTACTGTAGACTTAGAAACTGTCCACAAAAGTTATATGAGAATAGGGTCTTGTGCATTTTAATTAAGTCTTTTATTTAGAATGTAATTTGGTTCATGGCGGTGTTGTGTTTGCTCAGTTGGCGCTCAGTTGGTGAACAAACTGAGCACAACTTAGACAATTGTTGTAACAGTAGATTTAACATCATTTTTCTGACGGGTCAGGGTTGCCTGTTGTGAAAATTGTCAAACACAAATTTAAAACAGTAATATAATTCAATTAAATATTTTGATAGAGTTTAATCACGGCTTACGTTCTTGTTAATTAAAAGAATATGAGCTCAAACTCGAATAGGTTGTATTATCATTGCAAAGTTTCTATTGACACCTTCCGGCTCCATCATCAGATCATCACCAAGTCAATATTTCCATTGTGATGCAATTTACAAATTGCAAAATTTCGACTCCAGCGGGAACCGGGACAAAACTAAACAAAAGCTTGTAAATGAAAACAAACTTAGCAAGAAGATTAATATTTTTTTTATTCTTTTTGACAATTCGTAAACGTGATATACGATAACATATTCAAATCAAAGGCGTACGACGACAAACGTAATTTTTTTATACGTATATTGATAGGTAACATTCGGTATATTAACTTGTCGAAAGTCTAATGGAAAGTTGGCATTGAAAAAAGAAAAAAGTTATATCCATCAGCACAATCAATAAAAGTAAGCATTGATTTCAATGTACAATAAAACAAAAGTATAATTTATAAGTATAATCTAAAACCAACTCTTCATTCCTTTAAACGTTCCACGTCAATTACTATACGTAATGGTCCCACGTCGAGGTGTAAAGTAAATTTGTTTTCATGATTGATTTTTGTAATACGATGCGCTACAAGTATCAAACATGAAACAAAAAGAAAAGTATAAAAGCATCAAGAAGATTTATAGTTTACCGTTCGTCGACAGATCGCGTTCATGCATTGTGGTATGTTAGAAATTTATTAAGTCTTGTACCGAACGAGCTTCCGAAAGCATAGACAATGAAGATTAAAAACGTGTCAATAGACAAATTGAAACGTCAGTTGTATTGATTTGTTTGGACGCCGCAAGGAGCGGAGGTCAAACTTTTCGACTATATTTCATTTAATAATTGAGTTAGATGTAATGCGATCATGGTATAGATTAACAAGTCAATATTTTTGTAGCAAAAATAATTGGCTTTTAATTTATTGAGACAAGTTAGTATTGAATTATGAGCATTTTAATTTAGGTTAATTTGCTGTTAGGTAATTATTGTTTGGATTGAATTATGGTGTTATTCAAAGAATAAATAATTTATTCATATAGGACTACGTCGTTTAGAAAATATATTTTTAACAATATTAATAAGGGGTCCAAAAAATAAAAATTACTTTTACTGACTACTGTACTTGCAGGCTTGTGTGTGGTTTTTACTTGACATAAAATAATATGACATGTTCAAAATTTGACATCATCTGCACAGATCTGATATTACACACCTAACCGCAAATTAATACCGAATTAAAATCAATGTAATAATACAGTAATGTGATTATGACATGAATAATCGTATTTTATTTAGTGACAACTAGCTTTCGTCCGCGACTCCGCTCGGCATTAAAAAAACTTAATTAGTAGCCTATGTGTCTATGTGTCCTTTCAGACTATTCTCTACATTAATGTCAAATTGCAGCTTGATCCATATAGTCGTTCAGGAGATATCTTCCAACAAACATCCATCCATCCATACATCCGAATATTCCTGTTTATAATATTAGTAAGCAGTAAGATGGTCGGTGTTCGGATTAGTAATATAGGTAATATTAATAATATGTTATTTGATAATCATTTTAAGCAAGATTTTTACAAGCAAGCTTAACTTATTTCTTCTATTAACAGTAAAGCATAATACGATCTTCGAACTAACTCAATTGAATTCCGTTTTAATAACTTAAACAACTATTTTAAAGTTTACATTAAGTTCATATCTAAGTTAAGACTGGCATAATCTGTATTTCAGTCTCCTTGTAGTTTAAATATAAAATGTTAATGATGAAAACGAACCAACAAGTCTTCGTTCAAAATAGAATTAGTTTCAAGGAAATGATAAACATCAGGTGCCGAGGACCAGAAATAGATCGTTCAGAATACCATTAACATAGTACTTGTCGATTCACCTGTCCGGTAGAAACTGCAGTACAGTTCTGCACAAATGTTAAAATATTCATAATTTGTATCATTTTGAGTATATGTAATAATTGCAACAAAATACAACAGTAATAAAATAAACGTAAAAAAACTATTTTACTTGTTAATTTTATTAATCTTGCTAATATTATAAATGCGAATGTTTAGATGGATGGATGTTTGTTTGAAGGTTGTGAAGAACGGCTGAATGGATTGCGATGGAATTTGGCATGCATATAGAACATAGTCTTTAACAAATTATGTTTTTCTTTGTTTCGCGCCGACGGAGTCGTTGCGATCGCTATATTTCTAGTCCTAGTAATGATGCTTGTTTATAATCCTTTAAATAAAACGTGTGTTAAAAGTTACATTTTTGCTTCCTATTTTTTAAATTTAAAAACAATTAAACTCCGATTACAACTTGTTTTATCTTTACTGCCAATTATATACCTATATCAAAGTGATTTTATTAGGCGTTAACTGTTGTTAAGCTGTTAAAGAATGATTTCACAACAACGTAATAAAATAAATGTTCGCAAAAACTTATGTTTAAAAGCGTTTGGAAAAAAGTATCCAACGCGTGACTCATTGCCAACGGTCGTGATTATTGAAAACAACTTAAATAAAAAGACCGTTACATACACGCTACTAGAGGCCGACGATCTGACTTCGACTCTATACAATTCTAAACCAAAATTAAAGTTTACGTAATATAATTGTCATCGTCAAATATAATTTCCTGTGACAAGCCTCATCTATGGATTTTACGGCAGCTTTTGTACTCAATCCATTATAATCGATGTCAATACATTTATAAAAAATCGATTTATTTTTCAATGTAAATAGAAATCAAAGTAGCGTGTTGCGCACTTGACAACACATTTATCAACTAGGTAAAAATATAGGCGTATCTTCACTAACCATAGTTTTAGACATTATTAGTTACAATCCTTTGGCACGAATGGCGCGCTTTCGTTACAAAGTCAAGTGTCAGAATGATTAGTGAGGGGACATAAATATCGACATTTTAGTAAGGCTAGTGTTGCTCCAGTACACCGGTACAGTGCCGGATTTTCATCCTAACAATAGGTATTATAATTGACCATTAAATGGCTATTTTATGAACTATCTGTGCTGAGGGATCAAACCTATAATTAATTAATTTCATAGATGCATCTTCACCACATACCAACAAAGTTCTCTATTCAAAACTGTAGGTAAATAAAATTAATTGTTGATTAAAAAATTACATTGCGACACCAATCTTAAAGATAAAACGAACAAAACCAAATCAAACTTTAAAGTAATAAAACTAAACATAGTAAATTAGTTAAACTTATCTAATTTTAAAATCAATCTAATTATAATACGATCATTGCAAAATATTTCGTAACAACCATCTGTTTTATTAAGGTGTTCTCAAAAAAGATGTTATATTTTACGAACGTGTGGGAAACCGAGTTATTCAGTGAGATCAGACGGCCCACGTTTACAAACTGAGTTATTTATTTTACATCACAAATTGATCGATCATTGGTTAGCTGTAGAGTTTTTCTATTTCTATATAGACGGCCGACACGCGTCGCAACTTAAGACTATCCTTTCGTACGCACGATATCAATAGATGATTTATTTATTTGAGAAATAAACTTATTGGTTATAATTAATTATTATGAATTGGAATTTTTATCGAGGAGATGCCTCGCGTCTATCAGAATTCTTAAGACTTTGACATGAAATAAGATTTGAGAGCGTCGGTGGCTCAGGGGTCAAGCACATGACTTGCAATCTGCAGGTCCTGGGTTCGAATCCCGCCGTGTACCAATGTGTTTTTTCGATTTCCGTATGTACATTTATCCGACGTTCTTACGGTGAAGGAAAACATCGTGATGCAACCTGCACATATCTGAGAAGTAATTCAAAGATATGTGTGAAGTCAACCAACCCGCACTGGTCCTGCGTGGTTGACTATGGCCTAATCACCCTTAACTTAGGGTAGGCTCCGAGCACCTCGGTGGGGACGTATAGTGAGCATCAGCTCACATCATCATCAGATGATGAAGATTTGAAAAACTGACCATGTGTTTCTGACATCAAAACCTATGTATGAAATATATCGTCATCCTATTTTTCATCTTTGACAAAACAGAGGATTTTGGTCTCAGAAACCCAGGGTGAATCTTACAATTTTATTATATCCATGATAACTGGCCATGCATGAACTTTAACGCATCTTCAGATTGTCTAGAGTTGCAGAATTCGATATGCGTCAATGATCACCTCTGTGTTCGAAACTCTCGTTTGCCTTATTCTCTCATAAAAAAAACGTGCAACATGAACAACAAACTGAAAGCTTTCATGTAATTTTCAATCATTACATTACCACTGAAGTTCTAAAACAAATGTGTATTTTAAAATCTACAGCTCTACTTTTACAACGTTTGTGATTTCAGTAATGCCAAAGTTTCTACATTGCTTCTAAACATATGTTATTCTTGTTTGACTTTCATAGTGACGAAATCTTTCTGTTTTCAGATCCACGAGAAGATGAGCTATCATTCGAAGTTACGAAAATGTCAAAAGAAGGGATCACTTAATTGAACGACATTTTAGTGTACAATGTCAGTTTAGTGTTGTGTTACATTAAAACAGAAGTGATACGTAAGTGTATGTGAAAGTTCATTAATATGGCGCTTCAAGGGCCTCTCCTGTTCTACGTATTTACAACGTGAGTATACCGCGCGTGCTTTGATTCTGTTTAACGTTATTAATCAAGATGTTCTTTGTTTAAAGTGGATTTGATATAAAGCTCTTTATCCCTAAAAGGGTAAGCAGATACCATGTATATATAACTAAAAAGCTGTTTGATATGTTTGATAATTAACCAGATCAGTGGAGAAATTTAACCTTTTTAAATATATTTTAAAACTTTCGTAAAATGAAATCTTACTAATATTATAAATGCGAGTGTTCGGATGGATGATTGTTTGAAGGTTTCTCAAGAACGGCTAAATGGATTTCTAATAAATGGCATACATATAGAAAATAGTCTGGAAGATTACGAAGCCTGTTTTTTTTTTATTCCGCGCCTGCGAAGTCGCGGGCGACAGCCAGTTAGTAACATTAACGTGATAGGAGTTGACTTACTGACAATATGCCGTATAGAGGTATACACAAAAATGTTAGGTTTCAATTTTCTATGCTTTACTTCAAGAAGATTAAACAAAAGACGTGGATAGCTTTGATTTTACTCTAGGGATACAATTAAATTAAATATATCCGTACGTCTACTGTTTCAATTGTTGGCTTTTATTGTTTACAACACCGACACTAAACATAAAACAAAGTCATAAAATAATCGTAAACACAGCTTTAAAGTTATCGTAAAAGAATCGGTATTTCTTTACAGATTGACACCTTAAAAGTAGTACTTACAATAAGATTTTAATGTTATGATTTATTCATAGACCACGGGACATCATTATAAAGTCAGGCAGGTAAAAGGATCGAATAAATTAAATTTAACACATTTTAATTAGACGAATAATGCTTATGTGGACTTTAAAAACTGTCAATTATTATTTTGTTTAAATAAATTTTGTCCTTAAACTATTTACTAAAATCTTATAACAAGCAAGCTTTCGTACGCGTGTCCGTCCGCGCGGAATTAAAAAAAAACTTAATTTATAGTCTATGTGTTCTTCCAGACTATATTCTACAACTATGTTAAATTTCAACGATATTCATGCAGCAGCTCAGAAGATATCTTCAAACAAACATCCATCCAAATATTTGCATTTATAATATTAGTAAGATATAACTGAAAATATGCTTTAAAAGCATTATTTCCAAATGTAAAACGTAGAATAAAGTTCAATGTATTGATGTATCTTATGTCTTAAGTATTTAATTGAATAGTTTAACGATGAGTATATTTATGACAGCTTGAGTGTAACTTTAAGGACCGTTTAAACATCCACTTACTATAGACGCGAAATAAGTATGCTTGGTTACTTCTAGTTAACAAACAGGTCTTCTAGCACATATCAAATTGTGTATCATTATACATCGCATGACTTAAATGAAAAGATGCTACTTATTTTTAATATTTTACGTATATACACTTATATAAAAACGGCTTAAACTCACGTTTATTCGTCCGATGGCGGCACCTACTAGTTTTGAGCCTTTCATCTTTGACGCGGCCCTTTGGAGCAACGGGCCGCGTCCCCGAAATACTACGAGTACCAGACCCACTCACCCTGATGAAGGGCGATGGGCTCGAAACTAGTCCCCACCGGACGAATATACGTGAGTGTTTAGCCGTTTTATATAAGTTTATTATAATGTCTCAAGAAAGTTTGAACAATTTAATATGTATAATACGTTAAGTACTCACATTAAGATAACTGATGTTTGGTTTCTAAGACCAAAATTCTTGTTTAAAACATACGTCATCATTGAGTTTATCTTTGGCAAAACAGAAATTTTAAGAAAGAGAACAGAGTTTTTTTTTTATTATAGAAGGTTTTTGATTTCAGAAAGCAACGGCAAAAACGAATCGGTTTTACAAACCATTATAAGTTTAAAGTGATAAAAGCTCATATTACACCAATAAACTTCAATAAATTAAATACGTAATGTCGTCATAATAGTACAGCAATTATTGGTCTAAAAGATTCCAAATTTCGTAAACGCGTGGTTTGATATTTATGAATGGAGCATTCGCGAGACCGTGGGCGATCTGAATAGGGTTGTCACCACTGTGGTTAGACTCGAATTCTTCGAGTTTCAATGGCGCATATTTATACTAAGAGTTGGTGTATTCGGGTCAGAGTGAGTTGTTTGAAAAAAGTCAGTAAAGTTTTTTCTTTCAACGGCCCAAATTTTTGATTCAGGGTTGGCAAGAGTCAGTTTTTCGTTGATAGTGTTCTACGGTTAGTTTGATTGACAGCCCTACGATCTGGACTAGAGACCAGTGGATTCTGTGTCGCCAAGTGATACAAGCCTTATCTCTTTCCCAACTAGTCAGTGAAATGGTCATTTTGAGAATGTCAAAATACTGGTCTTTACCTTATTTATGGGACTTGTTTTTGTTTGATAGTATCAGATATCACCATTGGGAATTAAGTGAAATAGCAAATTCATTAGTTCAGTTAGTCATTAGTTGTAATTATTTAAGAAGGTAAAGGGATAATTTTGTCAGAACTTTTTCAACAGTAATTTAAGACAATTAATCGTTGGTTTCTGAGATCAAAATCCCTGTGATTATTTCTGACAAACCTAAGATAAGAAATATTTTCAAAACTAGCAATTTTTGTCTCAAAACCCACTGTAATACGTTAGTACCATATTAGTTTGTTTCATAGCTTATCATTAGTTTACATTGTTTAAAAACGAACTAAAAATGTCTAACGTTGGTTTTGAGTTTCTCTCATAATAATTTATTCAGTGGTCAAATGTTCGTAATCCGAGCCACTTTCTTGACCAACTGTCAGAATGAGCATTGGCTGGCATTAGCATAATTGTCGTTAGTTTTAATTTATTTTGACTATACCAAGTTAAGATCTTGCTAATTGAGTACCGACCTACAAGATAAACGATTAATCAATGTTCCTTAATTATGTATATTTAACACTGGCTTCTGATATTTTTAAAACAAAATGTTGTTTATATTTCACGTATTATAAATTTATGTACAACTTGTTACTCTTACTAATATAAATGCGAAAGTTTAGATGGATGGATGTTTGTTTCAAGGTATCTCCAAAAGATCTGAATGGATTTTGATTAAATTTAGCAGACATGCAGAACGTAGTCTGGAAGAACTCATAGGCTACTTATTAAGCTTCATATAAATTCCGGGCGGACGGAGTCGCGGGCCACAGCTAGTACAATTATAAATGTACAATTAAATTGTTTCCTGTAAACATTTTCTTCTTTGTACATGAGCAACAAATTACTTTTACAAATAGGTCATATAATAATTTAACTTTATTTGCATAGCAGCGAAATCTTTGCAAAGGCAGACGGAATCACGTCTATTAATAATTCCACGCCTGTCATTCGTAGTATCTTGACCTATCAAAGATGGCAGCTAGTAGGAGGAAGAAAGTGTCGCTGCGTTTACACTTTCGTTCCGTTTCGTTTACTACTTAGTTGTTGTAGTTTATATTTTCATTTGCATGACTAATAGTGAATTATAAAAATTATAGACTAATTGTCGTCATCATGTCAGTTTAAACTTTATAGTTTATGCTGAAAAACGGTATGTCTCCGTCCCATCAACTGTTGGTTTCTTCCGAGATGACTGTTTATTTTCATCCAAATAAACAGAGTATACTCATCCCTGTCTTTCTCTTTAGATAAGTAGAGTTAACAATAGTTTCATACATTGTTTCGGCAGTGAAAACACAAATTAAGGAGTGTAAGCAACCAACAAGATTGTCAATGAAAGCAGTCGTAAAACACACAGATGTGCATATGTTTTTTAGCCGGTATACTTAAAAGAAAATATAAACATAATTAAATAAGCAGTTATTAAATAAAACCAGCTTTCCGGCTTATGTAAGCGGACGCAGGCGCCATCAATCGGATCGGTGATAAAATTATTAATTATAATAATTATAAAAGGCTCAGAATTGATTAATGATTGCAAGACACCGTGCGGCATTTTATCGTCTTATGTTCCTTTTGGACGATGGTATACAATGTATACTAATTAAATTTAAGATAATTTATTTACAGGATGCTCTTCCCAACACTTTAGTTATAGCTTTTGGAGTATCATATCGACTTATTTATACAGACAACTACTAATCATTTCGACAAAAATTGGATGAGTTTTAATTTGCAAAGTTCTGTGAGTTTAAGACCTAGTTAAGACATCCTGTATATAGCTTAATAATGTGTTGCTTTTAACAGACATATGATTATCAGTTAACATAAAAAATCAACACACCAAAAATACTCATCAGCAATATTTATGACTAAAAATAAAAAAGAAATGCATTGCATATTTTATTAAGCAAGCATTTTTTACGAACTTTAATTGTGTGCGCGTATAAAATTTTATAGTTGTACGAACGAGCAATTACTCGTTATATTTAGCCCTGTTAGGCGCAGAATTTATAGTGTAAGGGCATTGGAATAAAGCTGTTTTATTTTAGTACCGTTAACAAAATGCAGGATAAAAAAAAATCTAATAAAAAATAGTTCTCTTTCAAATAATTCAAAATACGAATTTTGCGATAGTATCAAAGAAAAGAACACGTCTTTAAATGCACATAGACTTTTGACTAAAATAAAGAAGACTTGAAAAGAATATTAAATTTCAAGGACATAAAAAATATTTGAGTCGAAATAGAACCTGAGACTCGTCTCGAAGTAATAAATTAACAAATATAGTTGCATGGTCATATACAGTATGAATCATGTCGGTCAGAAGAACATAATGCTGTTAATTTGGTAAACGGCAGTGTTGTTAGCCACAAAGGATTCAGTGTGAGCGCAGCTCTCGGCACGGCTTTTATTCACGTTTTGTATGAATATACGTAATGTTGTTAATCCCTTTTCGGGCGTTTATTGGCCTGTCATGACAGCTATATTAGGAACACACGAGAAAGGGAATCTCGTAGTCACACTGGTTTAGTGTGCCGCTACTAATTGAGTCATTTTACACAGTGCACTTTGAGTTATATTGATGTAATTGAGTGCCGACAAACACTA